TTGGTAGTACTTCAAAGGAAACAACAGTGTTGCACCTGTTATTCCAAGTGTGTGGGATCATCTCCCTGATCATAGATTTCAGAATTGTCATCTCATCTTTCAGATAGGTGATGTGGATTTTTATTTGGAAGGCATAAGGTAATTGCTGATGTCAGAGCTGTACACTGGCCCCAGATCTTCTTGGCTACTGAATTATTCTTGCCACACCACAGAAGTGTTTTCACTGTGAGATTCTTCCCTATTTTAATGCATAAAGCCATTAATGTTTAATAGCACTTCTTGTGAAAAATACAGATATATTTTTGTTCTTTTTTAATAATGATTGTTTTTCTTCATTTTGTTTGGGTTTTTCTTTTCTGGGAGTAGAGTGGGACTTTTTTATTAAAAAACGGAAATCTAGGTAAATATTAAATAATTGTTTGCAATGTGTTGATCTTTTATTTTGCATTAGTTTGTTCTTATTACTGGAGTTTGTACTGTAAGTGTAGAGTAGCAAAAAAAAGTATTGTAATCTGTGCTAAATTTATTTATTTATCTTAGGGAAAACTGATAAATCTACAGAAGTCCCTCTGGTATGTTGCATTAACATCTTCAAAAGCTATGAAGATTAATGTGGATGTGGAATAGCCATCAGAAAATTATAGTCTATAATGGCTTGAGGAATAGAAAGTCATTTATATATGACATAACAGGAAAGGATATACAGAATCTACGAGGTGTCACTGATAGCTCAGAGGTGGCTTGTAGTCACCAACCTCTTCTGTAGTTCAGCTTTCCCATTACAATGTAAAAATATTGTGTATACCCATCTCATCTTCTAACAGAGGAGTGCCATGCTGTTTTAAGAAAGTCTTTGCTATCAACATAAAATATATTCTGTCTTAGAAACTTCAACTTCAGCTGGTAGAAGGGTCTACTTCTTATAACACCTTTATTTTAACTTGTTCAATATAAACTTAGTCTACATTGTTTCCACTCACTTCTCCATCAGAATGGTCACTGCCATTTCCAGCCTGGAGCTGCTCAGAGCTGGTTGATTTTCATTCTGTTACGTTCACTGTCTTTTGGCTTAAGTAACTTTTGTATCTCATAATACATTTTTCTGTAGATAGCAGCAATATCACTTCTTGCTCTTTGTCTTACTGGGTGGAATGACCCAACCTCTCTTTTATATTCACTTACAGAATTTGGTCTTTGTTGGTCTTTTCACCTAAGTCACCTTTCCTGATTTTGTTTCTGGTTTTCATTACTTTTGACTAGAAATTAGTGGGACAAAATTGAGTCTTATTCCCACAGCCATAACTCACTGTAATACATCTACACTGCTCTGCTGGTTAGCCAGAGTCTCTGCTCCTGGAAGCCAGGGCCAAGAGCTGTGGGACCACAGCCAGGAGAAGAAGTAGGGCAGGCCAGAAAAGGCCTGGGAATATTTTGGTAATTGTTAAAGTTTGTGAAAGGGGAACCAGTATGTTGGAAGAGTGGACAGGAGAACAGCAATTATGCTGAGCATTTCATGAGTTTGCTATTGTTCTCTGTGGCCTCAGTTCCCCAAATCAGTTTTGACACTGTTGACTAACAGCTGGTGAGCTGATGACCAAGGGTTTATGCAGTGTTTTGAAGGGGCATCACAGTGCCCACTGACTCTGTCAAGGCTTTTTAAAGAGCCACAGTGTTTAAAGAGCCTCTTTTGTAACAATAATTCTGTGTGTGCTGTAGCTAGCAAACCTTTCAACAGCAGTTCTCTGCCCAAATGGTGTGGGTATCTCCTCAAAGTAGGGGTTCCTTCACCACGTCCTCAGAGCAGATTGATGGTCATTCAGCTGGAAATTTGGGGACTTGGCTGATTTCATGTAGTAAGAGAAAGTTGTAAAATTATGTCATCCTGAATGCTTAGAGGCTGCAGGAGAATCTTTAGTGGACAATAGGGAAATAAACCAGACAACTAAGTGATGATCAAAAACTACTGAGCCTGAATTGCCCTTACCTTGCCTCATTTCTTGCCAGGTTGTTGGAATTAAGATTGGAACAGCATATCAGACACTCACCTGTTACAAGAAGAGCACTATTAAGCTCCATGCAGCCTTGCACCACTTTACAATTTGTTAATTTGTGCTTCACCTTTTCCCTGTCAAATTAATGATCTTAATTCTGTAGTTATTTCAAGGCAATATAATACCTGAAAAGAAAACTTCTCGGAATTTTTTCACACTTTCAGCTTAACTCTAATTGTTAGTATGACTGGTATGAAGAAACACACCTAGACTGAAATTGTGTGAACATGCAGAATGCATGTCCCAGTTCTCTCCCATAGGTTTTGAGCAGCACCCATTGATTTTGCTGGGTATTACTTATAGTCTGCTGTGTGAAGTAATTGAACCCTTTAATTGCTCTGCTGCATTTAAGCAAGTCAGCTGGAGTGAATCCATGATCATCTGCTTGAGTGTTTTTGTTTGGTTTTTGCAAGCTTTTCCATGGCATCACTGACTCTGCTAATCTACAGAAAATAGGAGACTGTTGCTTGTTCCAGGGAAACACTGGCTTTCTTTAGCTTGTTTCATCAGTAAATCCATGGGAGGGTTTTCAAAGCCGCCTTCCAGTATTCCTAGTTGTTTCCTCTTGCTCTATTTCCCTGTTTGAAGCCTCCAAGTTGTTGGTCAGTTAATGTGACAGGAGCCCCCTAGGTTATGTTTCTTCATGGCAGACGTGTCTTCTTTCATTAGCCCAGCCCCAGCAGCTGCAGAGTTTCATGTCTGGGCCGCTGTGGAACAGTCTGTTTGCAGTGAAATGCTGAAGTGTCTGCCTTGGGCTGGGGGGAGGCTCACGCCACAGCTGAAAGGAAACATCTTAATGTACAGACACTCAGGTTTTCCTCTGTTTTGATGATTTTTATTTCAATCCCCAGTCATTTCCAGATCTCAGTTATTTCCCTGTCTCTTGTAATTGTAGCAAGCTGAGTCCTGACCCTTTTGTTATTCATGTTGCATGTTAAGGCTAAAGGTTTTGCTGTCACTGAGAGATTTGAAGACTGCACACACATTTAAATATTTTGGAAACAAAGCTACTAATCTTGAATTAAAAAATCTGACTCTGAGCTGTGATACAGGAAAATCGTATTTCGTTAGCGAAGTTTGTCATTGTTCATTAAGATTTCCCTGTAAGTATTTTCCTTTAAATGTTTTTTATTTTTTGTTGTATTTACCAAGCTTTCTTTAAATCTTGTCAGACAATTAAATTTCCAAATCAATGGTTGCCTATAAAAAATGTTTACAGTAGTGCCTTGTCATTGTTAAATGTTTCTGCAAGTTAATTAGTAAGAGATTGGATCTTATTTATTCCATCTTTTAGGAGGCTGCTTCAAAGAATTCTCCAACCAAGCCAACATCTTGCAGTGCCTTATATTTTCAGTGATAGTCAATTTTAGCAATCTGATATGGCTGTTAAATATTGAAGGCCAAAATTAATGATACATTTATATAATTGTGCATAATTTTGCTATCTATCTTTGAAGAACTTTTTTCAGAGATGTGTAAACAGTGTTATTTCAATATTATGGTGGAAATCAGAAAGTGTTTCTTAAAGTCTATATGAAATTTAAATATAGCATTGCACATCAAATTTTGATAAGCAAAATTATAGTGAACTGCCTAATATTACTTTATTGCAGAGATATGGTTCATTCATTATAAAAGTAAACATTCTTTACATTTATTAACAATATTATTTTACTTTCTTTTTCCTTCACAATACATCAACACATTTTCAGCATAACACATGTATGCAAATCCAAGAAAATAAGTGAATTAAAAACTAACAGGGCACTTAGTCTTTGTCCAATTGAAGTTAATGGGAGTTCTGCTTTAAATTTGAACTGAAGTTGAATTTATTACTAATAGAATTAGGCCAAAATGTATATAGTCTTCTTGCAAATTTATTTTAGGAAATTAAATTATAAACAGGATAAAATGATAGGAAATGATGTTTCATGACAGCACAAGATTTCTGTTCATGCATAGAATAATGATTATTAAAGCTAGAGAACATAAACATTGCTCTGTATTTGTTCCTCACAGTATGTAATTGACAGCTTTCTCTGCTCTCTCCAATCCATCTTTAAATCATTTAAAGAATGAAACTTCTTCCATTTCTCCTGGCCTACAGTACACTCTCCCACAGAATGTTTCCTATGAAATAAAGCCTGGGTTTTCCTTGAATTTTTTCTACATGAAAAGTTGACTATTGGTTATATAGAGCCTACCCACTGTAGTGAAGATTAGTTCTGCACAGGCTCTGGAAGTCTGAGGATTTCAAATACAGTTTCTTTGAAGTAATGGCGGGGGATGACTATGCGCCTTCATCCCATCAAAATTTTGCTTAAAAACCTAAGTCCACAAAAATAGTCGTTGGATCCTACTCGATTCAGTAGATGCCTCATCCCCAGGGTTTCTAAGTTTTGTAGATATGGAAGGTTTAATGTTTTGATCCCCTGCTTGCATAGTGAACTTATGTGGTCATAACTTCTGCTGAAGGAAGACTTTCCTATCTCTCCCATTTTGACCTAAAATTCCAACCCCTGTGGTGGAACCAGTCTTTCTGGAAAACACCCCTTAGAAAAAAGTGGGGAGGAAACAGTTTTACATTTTAGTCAATTCCTTTTTTTTTTTTTCCCACTCAGTGTTGCACCGATGCTTGCTTGGACCTCCAGGGGAGGTTGACACCAAGCTGGAATAACAATTTGTAGGCAAAAACATAGAAGCATGTACCGTTTTTGGAATGCATGCTGGATGGTAGCTCAGCAAACACTGGAAGCAGAGTGCTGTCTGATGCTTCCTTTGATGGTGCTCAGCACCACAGCGCTCAACTGCTTCTCGGTGAAGAAGCTCGGTGCTTCTCTTCCTCCCCCCTTTTTTTCTCATTTTCTTTTCCCTTTTCTCCCCCAGGTTTTTTTTACCCTCCCCCAGACAGCACCTGTATTAACCCGTGCTGCCTCTCCTCCTTCCCAGGTGGCCTCTCTGGGCGTCACCACATTCACACTGTGCGCTCTCTGCATCGACCGCTTCCGAGCCGCCACCAACGTGCAGATGTACTACGAGATGATCGAGAACTGCGCCTCCACCACGGCCAAGCTGGCCGTCATCTGGGTGGGCGCGCTGCTGCTGGCCCTGCCCGAGGTGGTGCTGCGCCAGCTGGCCACCGAGGAGCCCGAGTACAGCGGCAGCCCCCCGGGCGAGCGCTGCGTGGTGAAGATCTCCACGGCCCTGCCCGACACCATCTACGTGCTGGCTCTCACCTACGACGGCGCGCGGCTCTGGTGGTACTTCGGCTGCTATTTCTGTTTGCCTACCCTGTTCACCATTACCTGCTCCCTGGTGACAGCGAGGAAAATCAGGAGGGCAGAAAAAGCCTGCACGAGGGGGAACAAGCGACAGATTCAACTGGAAAGTCAGATGAACTGCACAGTGGTGGCTTTGACCATTTTATATGGATTTTGCATCATTCCTGAAAACATTTGCAACATTGTGACTGCCTACATGTCCACAGGGGTCTCTCGACAGACTATGGACCTCCTCCATCTCATTAGTCAGTTCCTTTTGTTCTTTAAGTCCTGTGTCACCCCAGTTCTCCTGTTCTGTCTCTGTAAACCTTTCAGCCGGGCCTTTATGGAGTGTTGCTGTTGCTGCTGTGATGAATGCATCCAGAAGTCTTCCACGGTGACGAGTGATGACAATGACAATGAGTACACCACAGAACTGGAGCTCTCCCCATTCAGTACCATTCGTCGCGAAATGTCGACTTTTGCTTCCGTGGGGACTCACTGTTAATTGACCTTAGGGCTGTATTTCCTGCATCTTTTTCCTTTTTCTTTTTTTTTTACTTCATATTTTTCTTCTTGAAGCAAAATGCAGGAAAAAAAAAAATCACTGTTAAAAACTACTCTTGAAACCAATCTGTATTAACAGTCATGCTTTGGAAAATAATTTCTTTGGTTATTAAAAGGAAAGAGAGAGAAGGAGAGCCAGCACTCAGTTCTACATCATGAGATTTTGTGTGGTGCTAGGATTTTATTGGTTGAGGAGGAGGATCCATATCAATCTGCTTTTATTTAATTCTGTAGTATTTTTTTTGATAATCACTGTAAAATGTTTATATAGACATTGTGGGCTTTGCAAGGTGTTTTCACGTAAAAGATGTGGTGGAAAGTATTTGAAGGTAGTTTTAATCAAATTACTGTACACTATTTTGAGAGGACTTGGGCTTCAGAGAATTTATAAAGTAGCATAAAAATAAATGAGGTTTTATTCTTTAACTTGATTCAATCTACATTTAACAAAGACACCTATGAGTAGTATTAAATTCCTTTAATAAGTAAAAAAAAAACTTTGCATATCATAATTTAGGTGGCCATATTTAATTAACATTTGAGTACTTACACTTGAAGGATATAATTAGAGTGTTTAAGGAAGATGATTATAATGGTATTAGATTTATAGGAGTGGGTTTTTTAATGTTATATTATGAAGGTTCAATGTGCCTCATTGAAAATTTTCTTCTTAACCTGCAGGTATACAAAATCTTGAGTTATTTTGTATTTCTTACAAAGAAACACTCACTTTATGACTGAATTTTGTCTCGTGTGATTTCAAAATCAAGATTCTTTCCAGTATACTATTTGTTTTACATTGAGTTTATGTCCTCCATCTCTGTATATATGGCTCCTACTGGCTTCAGTGAGAGTCTCATTGCAGAGAAAGGAATTTTTTTGCCAGAGGTTTGCTGACAATAAATGTGAGGGACTGAAACATGTGGAGAGTGAATTCCTTCTATTTTAAAAGGTATAAACACACTTGGGGCTTGACCTAGAGCCCATGGCAGTCAATGGAGAGGTTTCCATCAATTTCAGAGAGCTTTGAATCAGACTGGCTTCTCCTATTTGTTCTGGGATGTGTAGCATGAATATTAATCACAGGGGCTCTGTGTGCTGGTTCAGAACCATGCTGCTCTCAGAGACTGCTATTCACTAGCAGCTCACAGCCCTGAAGCTGGTTTGAGAGCCACTGTGTGTTTTGCTGATGGCTTCTTGCTGTCCACAGAGTTGTTAAAATGAGGAGGGTATGTCAACACTGCCAGCAACAGAGTGATACAGTAAAATCCAAAGTTGTTATAAGCAAGCCAGGCTGGAGACTGCAAAGTGCCTATCCTTACCAGCAGAGCTTATATCCCCACTCTTGGCTGAAGCAGACATTCTGTTCTTGGCAGGCAAGCCGGCTCATATTTACACTGGGCAGCAGGCTGAAGTGTAGACACTGGCTGAGGAACTGAATTTTTTATAGATAGCTTGTATTTTAATACTAATTAAATAAATAATGCAGCTGTATTGAGCAGAAGGAACATTTCATACACTCCTGCTTTGAAATTAACACTGAATATAACTGATGCAGTGTTATCTCCCTTTTGACACCTGCCTCTATATATGTTAAAGAGCTTGCTGTAACTTCTGGAAAGGACTCTATTTTTGGTTTGTAGATTCCAGACTTAATGTGTCTAATCTTGGTGATATTCTTGGGCAAGCAGTATTTCTTATTTTTCTTTACCATTTTAACCTATAATAATTTCAACTGAAAAAGAAACAGTTGAAATTAATGAATATGAATCTAAACATATATGCACATGAGTTCTTCTTCTGACTTTTGAATCAGAAACTGGGCCCTAGCAAGGCAGTCTGCTATAACCACAGGCATGGTTAAGTTCTGCTTAGAACTTGAGAAATTACCCAAGTTTTTAAAGCCCTGTTTAACATGCTCAATCATTTCTGAAGATGGCAACTGTCCCTTCCTGAGAAAACCTTTCATTGACTTGCCTTTGCTTGATTACATTTAATAAAGTATGAAAGGGAATAAAGAGAAAAGATGGAAACAAAATTCTTGCTCACTTTGGTGCCTGTGTTTCCTCAAATACATATTCCCCACTCTGCATTTTGATTTTTACTATTCTTTTTAAATGCAATATTTATAAAGAATGGGAATAAGACTCCCTTTTTGTTCCTTGCTGAGAGACCTGTTTCCCTCAGCTGCCCTTTCTGTTACAACAGGGGCTCAAGGATCTTGGAAAATAACAGCAGAATGGGAGGAAGCACTTTAAAAGAAACAAATGAAAAAAACAGAGAATTTACTTGGAAATATTACATTATCACATTTTGCTATTTTAGGTACAAGACTGAACCAGGACACGAAATGTCCCCATTGCTTTGGATAGAAGGTGCTTCCACCTTTCCACCGTGCACTGGGTATGTGTGAGCTCTGCTAAGGACTGTTGCTAGCTCACAGGTTACATGTTCTGTGTCCCAGAGAGCTGCAGTTTGTTTCTGCATTTAAACTTTTCCACAATAGGTGTATGATAATCCTGGAAAAATCAACCAAATGACCAAGCCAATCAAAAAAAACAGCAAAACCAAACCAACCAAACCAACAAAAACCTCAACAGCAACAACAAACCCGTACCCAGCAAAAAAACTGACCCCCACGCAAAATGATGTAAGAAGTCATTGGAGAAGATAGGATCTGAAGGTCAGTAATGCTGTGTTTGTAAATCCATCTTCCTCCTTGTGTGCAGAGCATTCTCCAACCAGTGGGGCTTCTTTGTACCCTGTATAACCTTGCCTTTTCTGCTGCTGAAAGAGCATTTTTCACAGCTATTTCTCTGCCTTGCCATGGATAACTGTAGCAATTTGACACCCTTTTATTCTAATTTGTTCTCTAAATTGGTTAAACTAATACCTCATTAGCAATTTGTATTGTCACAGCCATTCAAGTGTCATGATAAATGATTCCTTATGTTAAAGATGCAGTACTGCATTGCATTTCTTCCATCCAACTTTTGGTGTTGGTGCTGTGAACTCTTGGAATTTTTTTCTGTTTGCTTTTCTTACTTTCTTTAATATTCTTCAATATTAAATAATTATTATTATTCTAATAATTAATAAGCTGCTTATGTCTGGTTTGAATCCAGTTCTGTCAGACATTTGTCCATTAACAAGGGGGAATTTAATGACTGAAGATTTGCTTATTGCAAAGATTTAATTTTTTACCTAAACTAGAGAAAATTGCAGAGCATGGTGTTCAACATAGAAGATGATGAAATGGAAAATCAGATTGTAAGGTAGGAAAACCTTACACCTTTCAGATATGTAAGCCTTTAATACATTAGCACTAATTGTCACAGCCCTGGTTCCATTGAGAAATTCCAAACCATGAGACTAGTAAGTATTTCAGTATCTCCAATGAAAACATTTTATGACTTGTATCAAAATATAATTTTGTAGGCCAAAGTACAAATGGTAAATTATTGAGTAATGTCTCTCAGAGGAGATCTCTTATTTTACCACTTCCAAGAGAAATTCCTACATTCAACCTTAAATAAATTCTGCGTTTAAATGATGTCAGTGGCTTACTCAGCTCCTGTTCTGTCATTGAGACTGTGATGTAAGCTTCCACAGCTGCTGCTCCAGCTTCTGGGAACAGCTCCTAAAGACACTACAGAGGTTTCCAGCACGTTGTCCTGCATCTCTTTGTAAGAATTTGTGTCATGTTAGGCTCCATGGTGAGACTGTTCTATTGTGCTCATGGCACTGAGAAGCAGACTAGATCCTATGAAATGTGAATTGCCATTGAAATTCTGAGTAGCTTACCCAAATTCATTACACAACTAGAGTATTCAAAACCTCTCCTAGTATCTGTGAGCCATTGTCTTAGACACAGTGTAAATACATGCAACTTGCCCCGTGGGTGCCTGACTGCTGTTGATGTGCTCAAATACATCGCTGAGCTGCTTCTGGGCTTTTTTTGCCAGGTGGCATTAGCAAGAGCTCCCAAAACACCTAAATCATCCCCTTGTTATTGTGCTGGAACTAAGACTGAAGGCAAAACCTGCTCAAAATTAGTCTGTCTCCTTAGCAGGGCTCTCTCTTGTCTGTGCCTGGAGAGCACGTCTAAGGTTACAGGCGGTCAGTGGATACAGGCTTAGCACAGTAGCATCAGCATGTATTTGTGCGTGTTCTGATGAATCAAAAATTTATGTTCTGTTATTTCTAGGATGGAAGAGCAAGATTTAAAACCCTGCTCTGCTTAATTTATAGGTGAGACTTGAAATTTGGCGTTTCAACATACCCACAGAAAGGCGTAACTGCTGTAGGAGTGGACACACTGGTGTTACTACAGAGGGGAGAACCTATAAGAAGTAAACTGCCTGCAGAAAGCTGACTCACTTCTTTAAGAACGTAGACCTAATGATTTGCCCAAATTGCAAAGGCAAGCAGGGACCTTGAAGTGGATCTGCTATGTCCTGACTTCTTATATCTGCATGCTGAAACAATCCTTATTTCCTCAAATCACTGAGAAATGTGATTAGGAGTTGTTATAACTTTCTTCCTCCTTTCTTTTTCTATGAAAAGCTCAGCCAAAGTCAATGTGAGGAGATTATATGAATCATTAAAACTTAATGGTATCCTATATGTCCTGTCTCAGTCTTCAGGAGCTGTATTTTTTCACTACTGTTTTGTATTTGATTGAGTCATTTAACACCTGTCTTTGGTAGATGTCAAGTTTTCAAAACCTGGGTATGTTTTGTAATGAATAAGAAAATGAAAAAGTCACAGACTGAGATACTCCAGGGCACCTGGGCATCTCTGCTACAGAAACACTGACTCATATTGAGAGTTAAAGGTTCACCAGGCAGGAGAGCTGTGTTTAATCATGCACAGCTTTTAACCTCTGAAATCCAGGCTATTTGCTTTCCCTACGGTATAATTTGGCTGGTTCAGTTTTTGTGTTTCAGGGAGTAAAAGCTGTGACAAAGACTCCATGGCATTTTCAAAATGACAACACAGAAAACCAGTGCCCTCTTTCTAGTGGTGACACATTCCACTTTCTAGTGGTGACACATGTAGTGTTACCTGCAGTGCCAGGATCCATAAGCCTGGATGTCCCAGCCTTTTTCAAGGAAGAGGTCAAAGATTCCTGTCCTTGTGCACATGTTGTGCATCACAGTTTCTTATTACTGGAAAGCAGAAGATATTACCTTGACTAACATTTTTCTTCAAGTAGAAATCAGGCCTGCAAAAGTTACAGGATTCTCATTTTAATGTATTTAATATTAGTGCTAGTGGCAGTATTATTACTCAAATTAGTAGGTAATTTTTAGCTAAAGGGGAAGCTTTTCTTTTTCTTTTTAAATATGTATGTATTTTATCCCTTCTTTTCTGTGATCACAAATGTTATTTTTTTCCTAAACAAAATGCAAAAATTCCACAAGCACTCATTCTTTTGTCTAGTTAGAGAAATTCCATCATTAGCTTACATTAGACATCTTCATTTATATACACAGTGAATTTAGCCCATTGTTCTTTGAGAAAGGAAACCAAAATACTGAATTAGAAACATGGTCATGACTAACTTGATCTTGAAGAAAGAAGATTTGAATTAACTTCGTTTTTTTTTTTTTTTTTTAATAATTTTGGTCTTACCATCCTGAACTTTTTAGGAGATGGGAGATACATACAGTTCAACAATAACTTGTGATTGAATTTCATAATTGTCACTAGAGCCTCCAGAATACATACAATCTGGAATAAAATGATCTAATAGTAGCTGGATATGCATGTGATAGCCCCTGCTGAAGACAATGCAAATATGTAAGTAAACAAATAGGTTTTAGCCTCTTCACTTTTATACCAGAGAACTAATTCTTCCCTAAAATGTGCTTCCAATTTGATTTAATATACATGTGTGTGCTAGATTAATCTATTTAGTGGCTTTAGTGTCGTATAGGGAATACAAAAGTTTAAGAAAGAAGGTATCTTGTCTGTAATTGTAGCCAGCAGTTATACTTCACATTTTCTTCTTAAATACTTTCCTCTGTCTATTTTGAAGCAATTTCTACTGACTGTTCTTATCAGTCTTTTCAGTGTCTTATTTCATTTTCCAACTCTCCCCTGAGCAAAGGAAAATCCTTTTGTTTTTCTGAAGATCAATTCTTTTAAATTGAGCATGTAAGTAAGTCTCATTCATTTTGCACAATCTATTCACTGGAAGACTTAAAGGTGAACAGTCTTTCCCCCTGTGGAAAGTATTCACAAATAAGGAAGCTGCAGTCTATCTTTCTCTAATCTAGCAGAAGTGAAAATATCTCATCAATCTGTACAAGACCTGTGGCCAGAGTATCCACACTACAGCATGTATTTCTGACTTAAAATTGGCTTACCTGCCTGCAAATCATGATACAACAGACAACAATGGTCTCTCCTTGCCAAAACATGGGAGGTTTCTACAAGAAACTGGCTCAGGTATCTTCATTTCATATAGTGATTCTCTATGGAGTCTCTTTTTATCTGTAAAAAATCCATCTAGATTGTTAGGGGACCTCTGAGTGACCTCTGAGTAAACTATTTCTCATTTAGGGCTTCCTTTAGCAGGTATCACTCATGAGCCTTACGTTAAGGCTCGTACATTGAGCTGGGGGTTGGCATCAGTTGCTGGCCTGTCTATGATACAAGACATGCCTGTGTGCAGCCAGCACTGCTGGAAGCTGCACCTGGAAGGAGAAAGGACAGGGATCCCCCAAAGGCAAGGCAGTGCATCTGCACCCAGCCTCCTGGGGGCCCATGACAATTTGGTGACAAGCCTGTCAAAAGCTGGGACTGGCTTTGAGAGGTTTACATAGCACTGCTTTTGCAAAGCTTTAGGGGTAGCCAGTCTCTTAAACTATTAACTCCTCCTTAAGACATCCTTGCTTCATATGGAGCAAGACTTGCCTTTGGCTTTTGGCAAGAGAAGAGGAAGAAAGAAGGTATAAGAAAAGGAGAGAATCCTGCTCAGATGTGGATAAGCTTGACTTCTCTCTTTGGGGATAGAATTGTGTAATTATAGTGGTTTCTTAGCTTCCCCAGGTTAAAACAGATTGGACACTGAAATACTCCACTCTAATATAGACCCCAACTGCTGCTGAGGATGGAGCCAGCGACCCAGGTAAAATAAAGACCCCTGAGAGAGCACCTGACTTTTTTTCAAACACCTGTTTTAGTGATAAATCCATTCGGATTAAAGAGCATGTAGGTCAGCCTGCTTTTCCTGATGTCTCCCCTTAGTGATGAAAGGGTTAACAGTAAAAATACAGTGCTAGCATTTAGTCTAGCAGGGCCTGGTTTCAGATGAATAAGGGCAGTTTGTGCCTTCTCAGTGCCTGTTTCTGGCTGTCCTCATCCTGCACAAGGCAGCACTGTATGTTGAGATCCTGAAGATCCTACTGCCTCTAGGGCTTAACTTTTTTTACCTTTCTTTGGTAAATAAAAGGAAAGAAAGTAATTGTTAACTGTTTGAGGACTTTGCTTTGTTTCCTTCTGGAGACCCACTGCAGTAAAAATCAGAATTTTTATTCAAAAATTCTGATTTTATATTTTAATCAAAATATATAAAAATATATAAAAATATATCCATGCCTAGAAACTATACTCAGAAGAAACTGTAGAGACTTGAACTCTAAAAATCATATTAAAAAACCTGCAGAATTGTGGGTTTACACTGAATTTGACAGACACTGAATTTGGTAGTCCATCAATTGAAAACACACCAAAAATCTACCTTTTTCTGCTTTCAATGCACCACTCCCCAGTAATAGAGTAATATTTATTTTACTGATAGTAGCAGTCATGGTATTACTGTTTAAGAATTAATAAAATATCTTATTCTTCCTTTCTGTTTATTTCATTTTCCTTTGTCATCTTTCATTCTTGTCTCAATCTCTGTTGCTCTTTTCAGCTGGAGAATTTTTATTGTTTGTGCTGTCCTCTATACATCTTATAGTGACCTCTGTTTAATCAGAGCATGAGTTCAGTGAGTAAAAAGTGAGTTAAAGAGAATAAGCACTTCTAGCTCACTATGTGACCATGTACCTATGTGATTTGGGCCTCAAATCAATATAAAAGCCAAAAAATAAATGAGCCTGCCAGTTAACCAAAAGCTACCAGAGTCTGGAGGCTGGTAAATGATCACTACTGTGGTTGGTAAAATGATCATTGCTGTGGGCTTCTCTACCACCACTCAGCAGCCAGCTGCAGAAGGCTGCCTTGGGACAGACCTGCCAAATCAGAGATGGGCGTCCCTTGGAACTAACCTTAAATACAATGAAAATTAAAATGTGAGGTATTTTAAATGAAATATGCTGTGTTCAGCAGAGTAGCATTTCAAACACCAAGGTCCATTCCAGCAGAGCAGACCTGACCTGCTTTACTCCCAAGCCACTGGCAGGCTGTCAAGCTTTTGGCCCTGCTGAAGGAGAAAATCTATTTTGTTGATTCTGGCATCTAACTCAAATATTAGTGTCAACCTAAAAGTATTAAAAGATGAGATTCCTTATGGGCAAAAGTGAATTCTTATGGGCAAAA